CCTCTCCTAACTTCCTAGTTAGAATGAGGATGAATGCTGGACCAACCTAGTGAATGTGCACAACGCATATCGCACATGACTACCCTTGAATTCAAGCTATGCAAAGTTTGAAACTTAAGTGGAATGTTAGCCGCAGCAAGTCGCGAACGACATGGTTCGCTTCGGACATCATCCTCCAAAGGACTGAATCGGTTGGGATGTGGTAGATGTCGTTTCAATGATTCTCATCGTGTCACGGTTGGGCAAGCCCGTACCAGGAGAATGAACACATCAACCATTCCCTGACACTCAACTTACGGCATCTCACCCATCACCGAGCAGTGGCTTCCTTTTCCTTATTCGATCGATACTTTAGTGTGCTTTTTTAAACTGAGCTTACCTCTTTCTCTCAGATCTCGTACAGAAGCGGCCAATTATACATTCCAACTAATTCCCCAGGCACCCGCTTTATAACTCTAAATCGCCTTTTTCCCCAGGAACACAGCTGTGCAACTCTCCTGTCGATCTTCCCTCAAACTTATAACATCCGTGTCGTCAGATAGAGAATCAAAAATTTGGTTATAGTCTGGATGCTTGCCTCACTTTCCACGTACAGGGTTATAGGATTCAACCCATTTATTGTATTCACTTGCGTAATAAAACAATCGGTTCTTAAAGACACTTTTATGGCTGAGTCATGAATTGACGCTCGTGCACCTATTCAAGTTCTTTGTAAATCTTATCTTACTGCACTTAGTGTCTATAAGCTGACACCGCCCGAGGACTTTTACTTTGTACACCCACAACTATAGTGACAAGCAACTTTCACCTTTTGCCTACGACTTCTTTTCTACTCACAACGAGCTTTCGTTTTACCAGATGCACTTTATCTGTTTACGCTCAACCGCGGAATTATCACTTGTCCCGGTGAGTCACGCTGCCTCGCTACACGTGTAAACCTTTCGCTGCAGGTCTCGTCCTATAAACCGTTGGTCACGAGTTGTCCGTCTTCTTACCCGTCCGGAGCAATAGTCGTATCGCTCTTTACCGTCTTCAGGATCGTTGAGGTAACCCGCGTTTACTTATCGTAGATAGTGTTAGCTGTCTAAACAACTTCATCTAAGTGAGCAGCCGGACAACAAACAAAAGCGGTTCACGAAAGTGCAGGATTAGGTGTGGTAAGAACTTCAATGAACGGATTATCGCTCCGCTATTTAGATTTAACCATCAGTCCTGTGGCAAACGGAATCGCAGTAATATAAGCTTTCTGCCTGGCAGCTTCTTGACAGGTGTCTATCCATTGAGATATCTGACCATAAGCCACTAGTCAGCTTCATTTGTTTCGCGGAAGTAACATCTATGGGGATTAGGTACGTAACGATCTGTGAACATAATGTACCAAAGTAATCACAGATTACAATCAATAATCCAGTTGTGGATGATACGCGAAACCTTTTTTATCCTCCGCGCATCACTATCGATGTCTGATGGCTTTATTTTAATCAACGGGAAACCAAAAATACTTAAAAATGCAATTGCGCCGTGAAGTGAGTAATCCGCTGTACCCCGCGGTCTCTCCGATTAACTACGATGTTTATCTTTTGAGGCCCTGCCCAGAATGCGAGACTTCCCGCGGCGAGAGACAGCCAGACTGAAACTACTGATCTGGTATACAACTCATGGGTTAATTCTTTCGGTATTGAAACTGTGTTTGGTTACGTGTATATCAATATGCAACCGGTGGCATGGAGCCTGTTAGTACGAATGATATTTGGAATCCTTCTTTACCAGTTTTACTTCTTTTTATTGAATGATACAATTTTGAGAAAGGATGAAGCGGCCAATCGAGGGGCTGCCAATCTACACTTAATGGGGGAGTCAGGCGGTGATGACGGGATTCCAAAACACGTTTTCTGAAAATCTGATCCTCGAGGTGGGGATTCCCACCTTCATAAATCATCTGCTTGTAAGAACAAGCCCATAGAAATTAAAAAATTTCTCAACAAAAACCGGAGACGAGGCACGTACCTCTGTTCCGCACCTTGCTCCCGTTGGCGTGAACGAATATAATCGGCTAGCCAGCCTTTATTCTCCTCAAGAGCTTCGAGGAAGCATTTGATTCCCTCGGTTGGCATGCGACGCAAGTAATCCAAAAGCTTTCGAGTTTTATCGGACGATGTTCTCTCTGCGTTTATGAGCTCGCATTCCTCGCTCGTGAGCCAGCCACCAGCAAACAGATCATCTAAGACATCGGCCACATTGAGATTTTGGATTATCTTAGGACCGCATATTCGCAAGGTGTAAGCTTCTGAAGATTCCATTTTACTGGCTTTTCCTTTTTGATTGGTTCATGCAATCCCTAAAAGCTTTCACCACGTCCTGACACAACCTCCAATCTTTCTTTTCGTATTTACAATCTAAAACGTCGTAATGCTCTTCTAAACAGCCAGTTCTTTTGATCATAGCAATGACGGGGTCATCTTCCTCTTCAATATTACTCTCAGTTTGACCAGTCGATTTTTGTCTCGGTGTGGTGTAATCGTGGGGATTCGGTACAACGGAATTGATCTCCAAAGCACAGTGTTGAGGTGATCTACCAGATAGGT